CATAAATATCCAAAGTTATTCTTTCTTTTTGTAAACGTAACGCCAATGTTCAAGCATGTTTTATGTAGAACAAATACATTATGTATGAAATTTAGTTTGACCTTCTAGACAAACTTTAAAATTTAGTGATATGCAGTACATATCCACATATAAATATTTACAAACACTACAGAGATATGAAATGCAATTTTATAACTGTAGTAAAATAAAATTAATGAAAAATTTGTATTTGATGAAATGTGCAAGTAGGTAAGTAAGTAATAACTGATTACTAGAAGGAAATATTGCCTATAGATTTGTACAGTACTTGTTTTAGATCGGTGACTTAGTAATTAAGAGGCACAAATTTCAAAAACTAAGTTGCACATTCGAGACCCCTTCATTACTTCATTTTTGGCAGTCAGATAATAGCACTAAATTTCATACGCGAATTGGGATTAAAAATCGAGTGCATGGATCTGCACTCGATGAGCTACATCGTATTGCGTAATATTTATTATCTTGGGAAAAATAAGACTAGGCTACTATATAGATGAGGACGCTGTAACCACATTTATGCTAAAAATAAATCTATAGTTTGATATTCTTCACATAATTTGTATATCTCATATTATATCTCGTAGTTGTAAGACATATTTTGTAATTTAACATAGTCCTGGTGTTAGAAAATTACAATTTAGTTTATACACTACGTTGTGAGGTTTTTAGATAAGGATTCGAAATTGATACAAGTGATTTCTATCAGACTATTTAATAGGGTGCTTGACACATTTTCTTTTTAGTAATCAGACTGTTGACTAAAATTAAGTTGAATTAGTAGTAGTATATCACTGCATTTATTTTTGGATTGTTAATTTGGATATAGAATTGTAGGACCTGAAAAGAATTTATTTGAAGGAATATTCTTTGTTGATTTATTTGTGTTTTAGTATGATGGAGATTTCAAAATAATGCATTTATGTTTGATAAAGTCTTGATAAACGGTAAAAGATCAAAGTTATTGATCAGTTAACTATATTTTATATTGATTCTTTGCTTGAGAACTGGTGTGACAAAAACTATGTAAAAGAATATTACTCACTTGATAGTTTTGTTCAAATCATTTTATGGTATAAAAGTGATAATGAATTATTTTCAGTATGGGGTTGTCGAGTTCCATTGAAATTATGATCTATGCTAGATCACGATTGAAAGCCTGAAAGCACCAGATGATCGTTTCGTTCTTTTCCTAGAATTCCCAGTAGTGCACACCCGCGACATCGCAACTGGGAATCGAGCCTGAAACCTTTGGTCTAGCGCGCGAATGCTTAAGCTCTAGACCCACTGAGTTGGCATTCAGTAGTGTTATTGTCTAACCTCAATCACTCCACAGCATAGAGCGACTATCTTCCATTGTGTTCAGCGAATAACTGCCTCATACCTGATATGGATTCCAATAAAATTCAACAAACTCCACAATCCCATACTGACAACTGTCATGTGGCCATTGGTGACTAGCTTTGAGAGGAAGTTTCTGGTATTTTAGTAAGAAGCTGTGACCAGTAAAGCTAATGTTGTTTGTGATTTCAATGATAATGAATCATTTTAACTAAACAAACATAACATCCTTTTATTTGTGTTTATTTTCTATGAACATAACAAAATATTTTCAGCTGGGAATGTAATATTGTGATGACGATGACGACAATCATGGCATAAATTACACCCAAATATCAAATCAATAAAATCCATTAAGTTTCTATAAAAAATAATTTAAAATCACTAGAGACAGAAATTACTGAACGATGAAGAGGAAATTAAAGACTACCAGAATTAATCATCTGGCAAGTAATATTATGGTGTATGCTGGTCATGCTGACACTTATAAGCGGTATGTAGAAGCAATCGGAAACGAAACGCCTATCAACAGATGATTGATTTTGAAGAAAACGGTAAGGAAAACAGTGAGTAATCGGGATAACAGCAGAATTGGAAGAGTCATAAAGTATGTAAAGGACAACTGATACAAGATGTGCAACTAATGTATTTACTGTATGGTTTCCATAATTTTCGAAAGCATTGTGTAATTTTGCACCAAACAATAAATTAGTTTACCCCACATAAGTTTTTGTTCATTATAATAATAGGTTAACCTATTCTACCTAGTTCGTATGACAAGCTCTCATAAACATAGTATGGCTTAAAGTTGAGTACATAAAACTATACTTGGTCACTTATTAACATTAATCAATAATATGCTTTATGTATACTTTCTGAGATCAGAAATTGTCGATCCTTTCAATTGATTATACATTATGTTGTAAGAAAATAAACAAACGAATATCAGGTGGAAAATATTTCCGAGTTGTAAGGATACAACTATTAACTTAAATTTTACACTGAATTATTAGAGAAAAATTGACCACATATCAAACTTCATTATATTTATCAGTAGTGTAGTTATAAAATCATGAACACACTAAACAAAATCTATTACTGTGAATCATATTCGTACACCATGAATATAATAGAAAAAAATGACTACTAAACTATGCTTTAAATAAATGTCATTATAAATAATGCAAGTCTCTTAGTTAACTGTTGATCAACTTACTGGTCACAAATAGAATTCCAAGATGATAATATGTTAACTTAAAGTAATTACTTTGAGTACCACGAAACAAGTTACACCAGTCAATTATAATCATTGCAGGATATGGTACAAATATATATACATATATTGATACAAGTTATTCTACCACATCAATACAGAAAGATGAAATGAACAAGATAAATTAGCAAAAAAGTGACTAAACATAAATAATATGCTTTGAAAAGAATAAATCAATTCATTGAATAAATTAAATGAAATACGTTACAATAATAAAAAAAAAGGGTATATATGAGCAATAACAAAAGTGTACAACTAATTTAAGCAATAAAAAGGCATTGTAAAATAGAACAGCAAGCATATAATTTATGTAATTTGTTTTGTTTTTTTATCATAAGCATAAATCAAACAGTAGAAAGACAAAACTGGAACGTTATTAATTTTCTATTACCTAATTTCTTTGTTTTCTATAATTCACCTGAACATAAACGACACACCTACCTCATTAAGAAATATTTACAAAACCTCATTTGTTAATAAGTGTAGATAAAATTTTCGAGAAAAAACACGTTTACATATTTCTAAAATAACCACAATCGAATCAATAATGTTAGAAGAATGTCGAAATATCCATAATTAAGTTGTATATGATCTTAGCATAGTCTTTCAATTCACCGAAGCTATCTATCTACAATAAATGTTCTGGTATATTAACCAAGAAGAAGCTAATGTACAATGAAGAAAAGGACTTGTCTGGTATAAGTGAACCAATGTCAAAATACACCTTTTATTGATATAACTTTCCTTCTTTGAAGTTTATAAAGAGATCTATGAGTAATTAAGTTCGAAAAGCCAAATAATTGCCTAACCAATTCAACTTTGTAAGCACAAAATTCTAAGATCCGCTCTTATTAATTTCTGCAGTAGTACATCATTTTATATGTAGCTGACATATAATGAAATGATGAAGGATATTTATGTACCTTGAAGTAGTGGTTGCAAGTTGAAATTTTTCGTTTCAATAATACTATTTTATGAAGTTTTTCAATCGTATTTATCGTTAATTTTTTACATGTACTAGTCCATAGTAAAATAGAGGAGTTTTACAAAATTATCAAAGGTAGTTAAACGTAATGAAGTGGTGTCGCGTAATATTGTAGTGAACAGAACACTGGTTGGGGACAATCGAATGTATTTAAGCAAAATTACAGACTATCTCAGTAAATTCTGAAAACCATACAATGAACAGTCAATTTGCAAATTAACAACCAATTGTTTCAATCTTCACTGTTTCTTCTCTAATTCTACTGCTCATGCATTTTCCAAACGATTGCGCTTCATTACAGTTCTTTCCTCATCGGCCTTCTGCCAAAATACATTCTATGTCTGACCCACACCATATACTACTTATATGGATATAATTATACCACACCACAATATGATCAAGATTATCAAAACGTTTTCCAAGTATTGAGTACAGTAATTTGTAAGTGAAAGAGTGTTATTTCAATGTCATTGAAGTTTCCAAGTATTGGATAAGAAAATTACATCATTTAACAAAGTAATGAACAATCATCAAGAGTTTACGTTATGTAATAATCTACGAAGTACTTAAAGGTAGTAATCTATGGAATAAAAGGCAAAGATACCTGTCTACTTAATAAAGCAGAAGAAGGAGAAAGTAATAATTAGCAATTATAATTTTAAAAATTCGAAGGGGTGCTATCCCTCCAACTAGGCAAAGTATATCAGTTTAGTTGATCACAAAGACCGATGATTGTCATTAGCAACTTAATCGACACATAGCATATAGCACTAAATGTTAAATACTTGTTTTTAACCAAGAAACACTTGTAAGTTTCGTTCCTGAAATAAAGTATACGATCCAAGTGATTTCCAGCCATTTAGTTATTCCAAATGAAGTTTCAAGAAAATGTGATATCAGCTGAACAAATACTGAAACCTGAGAAGCATCAACTAGCTGTTACATTCTAGTTTTAGACTTCGAAGTGTACAAACCTTTGATATAAGTTTTTCAAAGTTCTACTGGGAAGCTATTTACAATGAAGTGCAACAAATTAAAATTAGGAATGAAAGCTTATCTATGACACATGATAGCCATATTATAACACAATTTGGCTAAATTCAGAAATTATAAATCATTAGATTTCAGATCGTGTATGACAAATCTAAAGTTCTTTAGGCTCATTTTATGATTATAAAGAAGCTATTTGGAAATAGCCACCTAGTGATTTACACAGTCTAGTCATTTGTAAGATCATATCAACTGTTTTCTACATCATTTTTTGACTTTTCGAAGTAATGACGGTAAGATATGTAAGCATATAGGTAGTCAAAACAGCAACAAATTGCATAAAAACCAAAACAGAAACATTGAACTATAAATTACCTGGTGTGAAGTACACGAATCACTGTCTTGTAAATGTATTACCATTTTTGCTACTTGTTCCTGCATTAAACTATCACTAAGTGGATTATTCGAATCTGCAGATGACATTGATTTTGACCAGTATTTACAGTTTTTCATTTGAAATGGTGATTTCTAAATATTACAATATATGAATATAATAATAAATTTAAAGTTGTCTCATGAATGTTTTTAACCAATTATAAAAAGATATTCAAATATACAGAGACATACGAGATTTACACCTTAGAATTTTTGCTACTTATCATATTAAAGAGAGTATCGATAGGTCAATTTGTATTCAGGAAATAGAAGAAAAGCATTGAAACTTAATCATAAAGAATCTATCGACAGGTGATATTTAATTTCACATCTGAAATAATGTATATGAACATAAGTAAAGTGGGGACATCAATTAATAAACTAGTCGCTCGATGAATATTCAGTTAACACATGACTAGTTTAGAACCACTGTACCCAGTTTCATCGATGAAGTATTAACCATTGCTTAAACTTTAATGCATAAACATTGGCATATTATCTAATTCCGCGTAACCACATTGTTTAGAACTGATATATTAGTACATGACTTCAGCCTAGATAAAATTAAATGCATATACAAGATATTTTATATCACTATAAATTCTCCGTGATAAGTTACAGAGAAAACGATGTAAAAGAAAGAAAATACTCAGAAGAAAATAGGTGATGCATTCATATATTATTGTCCAATACTAAAATCTATTTTAATAATTTAGGCTGAGTTTTGAAGCAACTTTATCTGATAATTTACAGCAAATGTTATTTCCTGATACATTACGACACATTGAGGCGAACAACTTTACATTGTGACCAGATAATCAATAAATAAGTTAGTAAATTTAAAAATGACGTCAAGATATTTAACTGAGGTAAGTTACAATGAGTCGTATGTATATAACTGAATCGATAACAAAAAATACTGATGGAAATAAAATGTGAATTTTTAAACGATTGAAATAATATAAATAAAACTTGGTTGAAAGTTTTTATTGGGGTCTTTGTAAAAATAATAAGCATCAAATAAGTTAAAATTACCTGTTTATCAAATGATATTTCTTAGGTTTCGTTGTATAGTTTTAAAGTACTAAGGCATAAACAGCGATCCTGATTATACATTCTTTATGAAGTGATTTGGTTAAATTCAATACAGACTTTGCAAAAATTCATTCAAGAGTTGAATGAAATAATTTATTTCAATACTCATAGTTGTTAGTAACATTCAGTGGATTCAGGCTTTTGTATAAGCACTTTTATTGAATATATTAAGGTCATAAACAAACACAATAAAAAACAATTGATAAAAAATACTACTTAGCGTTCGATAATTACTAGTGAAGCAATGCAATAAATTAAGAATCACTGAGGTAGATTAACTACTGCTCAGGAGGACAATATGTTAGATAGAGGTGTTAATTTGTGTTTAGTTAATATAATCCAATATTATGTTAGCAGAATTTCAAACTTTAAATACAATAATCATTCAAAAGTTATTCATACTATTGTTGAGAAACTGAGCAATACACAAACCATACAATCTATGTGTTATATAAAAAAGATCCTCCTTGAACATGAATTCTATACCTTTGATATGTCTGAAAAATTGGTCATAAAATAAAACGAAACAGAGTCACTCCACTGTTACTGATCAATGAAATAAGTTGAACGAATGTCATAGATGAGTTTAATTATGAGTTAAAATTCTTAAATCTGAAAAATATTAGCTGTAAACCATACCGATGTTTACACAAACATTTGTCAAGATTTGAACAAACAATCTCACAAAAATAAGGGAATGGTTGCATAAAAGAAATTATGTATTGAATAATGTTCATTCATTGGGCTTGAATTATTCTTCATGAGGTTACCTAAAGCAACGTAACATCAAAAAAAGATGTGTACGGTGTTCAGTCACTGAGATTAGTGGCCACACTGAAACCTGATCGATAGAATTCCGTCACCACTATAGGACTAGACAAACATGGAATTTGTCTCTGTGTAGTGAATGATCGGGTTAAAGTTTATCATCATCTAGCATTCGAACAACGAGAACTTTTTTATACAAGAAAATAAGAATAGATTTGTTTAAGAACTTTCATCTAATAATTAAACCATCACTTTCTCCAAGTTACCTAAGTTGGTAAAATTTTAAGGATGTAAACAGAAAATGAAGATATCAGTGTGCACTCAACTCACCGAATCCCGCTTTCTACACAAGATAGAGGATTGCTTGATGTGAGTGGGTAAGATCATAACACACTGAAATCCACTAAGTGGAATACATTCGGTACATATATATCGACAATACTAGTTAAGTCTAGTCAGCTACGAAGAGGTACATATTGCTGGCAAGTAGGTCGGTGGTATTTAAGTTAACCTCTGAATGGCTTCCATTGATAAAATCCATTATTCTTCGGGTATTCTTTTTTAACTTACATAAAATATGACAACCTATAGATGATATTTACAGTTTGTACTTTGAAACGAATCTCTTGACAATATTACTGTACAAAGTAGCATGAATATTCCAAATCAAAATAAGCTATCATTACAATAAACAACAAAAGGATGCTGTTATACAAAAGAGCTTACTCGACTGGGATGAACGTGTGAAAAGTTCCCATTACAAGTTGTTGAATATAACGATGTTTTATCCAAGTGATCAGCTTTTTCTTTTTGTCTAATAGGCAATTTAGGTTGTTCGATAACAGGATGTGAGGCATCTTTAGTTGAAAATGACGAGCTGTTAGGTTTATAACTACGTGTTTGTATTGTACAAGAATCTTTCAACTTATTCGAATTATTAGGATAATTGAAATTCGACTCTAGATCACTAGTATCCGACTCGTCAACTAAAGGAAAACTCAAGTGGTCAGTTGCATTTAAATCCAATCTGATTTTAAGTAATATTAAAAAGAAAGAAAAAAAGCATAATATGATAAATAACTTGAGACGAAAAACTGAGTACAAACAATAGTAAAAATAAGTTTGTTTTTGGTCAAGATCAGCATGAAAACATACCTGCTGGTTGGCAATGTAAATTCTTTTTGACAATCTGAACTTTTCTTGATTGGACTTGAATTTGAAGGGTACTTTTGTTGAGCAGTAGAAGCAATTGTACATAGATATTTCAACAAGTTTGGATCATGAAACGGGTTCGTACTAAGTTGAGAAGATTGATTACTAGAGCTGACTAAATCCGTACGACGATCAGAGAATGGAATGTTGAGAGGACAAAAGTTAGGTAGTGGAGGTTTCGGTGGTGATGAGTTGGTGCCTAATACACTACTATTAGGATCTAAATAACGCCATAATTTAGCTAAAAGTTCACGATCCTCATCAGTGAACACACTTGAACTTTTTATCGATGTATTGTTACACGAATTACAATGAGAATGACCAAGAATTTCGGTACCATTATTTTCAATTTCATGACCACTTTTGTTTAAATGAATAGGGGTTGATTCATTTTGTACATAGCTATACCAAATAAAAATGCAACAATTTGGGTGATTAATAACGATATAAAAGGATTTATTAGTACACAAAAACTATTTCCTAATCATTCATTGAGTACCTATTAACTGTTTAGTACTAACTGAATTAACATGATAACGTGTATTGTTATTATTAATTGAAATACCTTGCTATCATTGAGTACTTTGCATATGGATCTCTGTAGGCAGTAACCAAGAAACCATAAGAGCTGTAAAGTTGATTAAATGAAACACCTATATAAGTTCTCCCTGAAGATAGTAATGATATTTCCATTTTAAAACTAGAATACTCATTTAATCACAGACATATTTAAACGGGTAACAATCCATGAACAAAGTACGCACAAACAGTTCAGAGATAATACTAATTTTTTTAGCCGATCATCGATGAAGATGGCTAATAGCCATATGATCTAACTGTTTAGGCAGTTGTGTCAATTGAAAGGGCTGCAAAATGCCTCACGTAAAGCCAGTTTTGACTGGAGACAAGTAATTCAAAAAGAAAAATGTAGTAAATCCATCATTGTTGTCGAAAGAGAGAGGCAAGAGTAAGTATGAGGTTAGTTGTTAATGAGTAATAAGATTTCATCATTTGGTCAACCGTCTACTCAAATGCTACTTATTTATACTACGATGGCATAAGTTTTTAGTTTGACCATTTTCTAAATATTATGGAAAAACGTCCTAGTCAGTACTGATCAACGTAATAGCCCCAATGGGTATACTTGATCATAATTTGCTGACAACAGTTGTCGAAATGTGTCAAATGGAAAAGGATCAATCGAAGCTCAAAACAAGAATAGTCAATTTCAAAACATAAAACATAATTTCAGAAATATAACGATTGGTTACTTATTAAATAATAGTGAATCAGTAAAATAAGCATTTTATTGAACGTCAATTATTTCGTGAAAGTATAAAAAATTACCATTATTATTAGTAGTATTATTATTTCTACTATAAATGATTAATGAAAAATAACAAATAAGCAGAAAACAATCGATTTCTGTATATCGAAATAGTTATATAAAAAGAGAAAAGAAATAACCAACTTGGAACAACTAAAATTGTATGAAAATGTGGTGACACATCAGGTGGGGGTGGTTTGATTGGAAAAACTAATTAATTAGTCAATAAGAATGTTTAAAATTAGTGTAACAACGGTACCTAACGAAAGTTGGATAACACTATTAAAGGAATTATTAATCAAAGATTTTCTGAATACACGGAATTTGTTATAATTCATAACTCATTCAAGATTAATGTATAAGAAGCATTTTATTGTGTTATATGTGTATTAGACTATGAATAACAAGCCTAAAGACATATATACAAAACAGAATAACCACTATTTACATGAATAAATAACGTAATACAGTGTTTTAATTATTGGAAAGTTACTTTCGATTTAATTTTACTCTTAATAATAACGACAAAAAAAGAATACAGTTGGCGACTGAATATGGCACCGAATCATACATCAAATAATGTGATGGATAAAACTTTGTTATTCTAATAATTACTACACTCAGTTATACAAACTTTTACAACTAACCCAAATGCTATACACCAGGATATCATCCGTTTAAACAAAGCAACTATCACCAACTAGTTGTATATTTAATATGTTCTGCATTATAGACAATCATTTCGCGGAGCTATCACATCAGATCAGGTATTTGCATAGTTCGAATGAAGAACATCTACAAACACAATAAATATGTTCTACTTCCTAGTCATCTTAAAGTAATTACTCGATCCATATTTAGTTACTCCTATCTCCTGTAGTACTTCAGGCTTTTAGAATAAGATATCTAAAATACATGAGTTTGTAAAAAAAATCTAAGACAACGTGACTTTTGCTAACAACCAATAGTAGATCACATTTCTATCGCCGGTTTTAATGCAGCTAATATGAAACTGTGTAAATTATTATGCTTTCGTAAAAATTCATTCAATTCTAAACTAAATATGAGTTTCATAGACCAAGAAAATTGTCTGACAAAGTATCTAACACTAATAACAACTAAGCATAAAAAGAATATTTTTAGGTAAAGAAAATGAAATAAATATGGCAAATTGCTTTTCATCTTCAGTAAAGATTTATTAATCTGTCTATTGACCTTGTGCTTACATCTCAAGTTGAGAAATATCAAGTAATGCATATGTTATTTAATAATACAAAAGCAGATATTATATATATATATATATATATATATATATATATATATATATATATAAACTCTTCAAATAAAGCAAAATTTGAGACAATTAACCAAAACATGAAAGATATGGGGATCAATATATCAAACCTGACTACATAACACTTGATGCATGTTTTATCATAGAACAGCTGTTAATTTAAGAATCATGTAGATTAACAAAAGTTCTCCAGTCTCTTTATATTCTAATGGTAAATTCAACAATTTGGCATTTAAATAAAGTACATTATAATATTGTTCAGCGCTGTAGAAACAACTTATTTATTCCAGAACCGTTTGAAGTAACACAATAGGAATATTGCGATATTGAACTGAAATTTCTCCAGCACAGATGTATATGGGGAAAAGTGAGAAGAAAAAAACTCTACGGAACACAGTAAGTAAGAAAGTTGAATGCTTTCCTTCATATCCATTTTATACGTTCATCCAGTGACATCAGAAGCTTAAATGATATTAGAAGTAAAACAGAGCATCTGCAACAATCCATATATTTATGGAAATTGATTACTCTGAAACTGATTTTTCAAAATTCACATTTATGTAAAATTATCTGTTCTAGTACACAATGAATAAGTAACAGTTTGAGTAAACAAATACAGTTCAATAAAATACAAGTATTTTAATAATAACGAAAATTATATATATATATATACATAAAATTTTTAGGTGAAACATATGCACACTAACCAACTTTTATACAGAGAAGCTTCCATACATGATGGTTCAACAAACGTGGTATAGCCAACATTTTTGAGTAATTCAAACACAGCCTGGAGAGAAAAACATGCATAATGCACAAAAAACAACAGTAGCAACATTAGGTACTGATATATAGGATTGTATTTACTACGTTATATATATATATATATTCTGCGAAGGCGATGTTTAACATACTGCTCTGGAGAGTATAGTAGGTAGCTCAAGGTTTGAACTTGTAATGTTATGATTAGAAGTCAGGAATTAGAATCCTTAGGATCTCTTTCAGATCATTGACAGCATGATATTTTCTATTTGAATAATATACCTACTTCCTTATGTCCTTCCATTTAAGCAGATAATGAACTGAATGATATAAAATTGTGCCTCATACACAAATGTTTAATACAAAACTATACTTTGGGTTTCTATTTTGAAAGGATTTAGTTTTGCGAAATCCCAAAGAAATAATCAAAAGCGACCAATCGTATAATGGGCTAAATAAGTTGTAAAACGAAAACAAAACGTTTTATAGTTGGATTTTTAAAAGAGGATATGAATATATAGTCATCATTTTGAGTATTTTCGACAATATAAACAAAAACTGACGCAACACCAATAGTATACATACATGAGCTTAAATAGTTTGCAAAGAAGATAGTTTACATCACAAAATGACAATAGCCGTAGACGAATAGAGACGAGGGAGAACTCGATGACTTCATAACTCGATGGTTCTCATAAGACATATTTTAGAAACCTACACGCCTACAGTTGCATACTGGATATACATATAATCGTTCTACTACTAAACAAGTTATGTGTAACAACGAATGTCATACTGCAAAAATGTACTGAAGTTTCAAAATGTGAATTATTAACTTTCAACTGCGAGTCTAAACAGTTACAAGATCACCAGGAAATTTAAGCGTTTGATCTCAAGTGGATTGGTGAAAGCGAACTCAATAAAAATCCATAACACTAAAACGAAATGATTATGGAGTGTTTCCGGTCTATAATTGGATGAAATCTCTCTCTCTCTCTCTCTCTCTCTATATATATATATATATATATATATATATATATATATATTGATGACAGAACTAGCTAAGGCATTAACTAACTATGACCTCTTTTTTCAGTAATAGTTAGTTTTGTATTATTTTAACTTCTACTCCTCTCTGTTTTGATAAGTATCAGTTGAAAAATTATAAACAAGATTTTCAACAAAATAAAATATGATTGATAAAATTAAAACATTTTTGTGTGTCAGTGAGATATTGAAAGAAAACTATTCTCATTAAACATAATGAATCGATCCCATTGGAGGTTTCATAAAGTTAAAAAGGTAATTGAGAGGAAAAAAAGGAACAGAGGTTAGTGATATGCAGTGGAATTCTGCTAAAATTAATTTCTATTACATAAATAAATATCTTAGTGAACTATACGGAGTAAATTGAATACAATTCAATTTCTGAAAAAAAAACATTAGGTAAGAACTGCAATCATAATTAATGAAACTTTATTTATAGACTACTAGTACTATTCAACCGTTAGTAACATATACGAATTACAGATTCACGTACTCAGTTTTAGGTGACACTTTTTTTAGGACTAGTGATACAACCTCGCTGCTCAGGCTCAAATAGATAGACTGCAGTTCAAAAATCTGGCCTGTTGGTTGAAAACTGAGTTCTTTAGCAATTAAATCGACAAGGAGGTAACAGCATAGTTGCGTGTACAATTAAAACTGTTAGGTTATACCATATTTTGTTCAGTAAAAATATAGTATACGTTTTCTTACTTCTTGCATCTTTTATTACAACCAACAGGATAATAGGTTAGGATATAATTTATTGAAGTATATCTAGGAGCTCTACTGAGTAGCAGTGACCAGTGGAGTTCAAAACCACGTCTGTTGTGAGATAGGAACTCATTGAAGACAATTGGTGAATGGTTGCTCAACTTCGTGAATCAGTTGAAGTTAGACATTAACACCGTTGGATGCCAGCTCAGTGGTCTATCGGTTAAGGGCTTCGGCTCGAGACTGGTAGGTCCTGGGTTCGAATCTCGCGAGAGCGGGTTAGTGGATGCGCATTGCTGAGGAGTCACATAATAGGACGAAACGGCCGTCCAGTGTTTCCAGGTTTTCCATGGTGGTCTAGCTTCAATTGACTCACGCTTTCTGTTATTCTTATTAATCGACAGTAATTATATAACGACTAATCTAATTGATGATAACTAAACTCATTTGTGTGTTTGTTTGTCTTTATTTTTATGTAAGAAACTTCAGTTGTCTTTCTGTTTAATCAATAAGTTAACGAAAGTGAAATTTAAATATTTCATAAGGATATCTAGTAAAATGATCGCAATGTAATTCAAGCTGCATTTCATCTTAACTATCATAAGAGTCATCATTTAAATATATATGAAATCCATCCTAGTATATTCGTGCTAAAACTTGAGCTTAGATTTTTTTAGCTTTGAGACTTATATATATGCTGAGGAGTCCCATAATAGGACGAAACGACCATCCAGTACTTCCAGGTTTTCTATGATGGTCTAGCTTCAATTGTCTCATGATTTCAATTATATAGAATTATTTAATCGGTTATACAGGAATGTAAACATGAAAAGAAATTTCTCATAGGCAATAAACAACTCCATAATAGGAAGTTTACTGTATAAAGCAGTACCAGTATTGAATTGGATGTGAAAAGATTGCTTACCAAAGCACATGATTGAAGTTGACAAAATAACAATTCACCATCACATTGTAAATCTTGTAGTAAATTACCATTCTGTATAGAATAATTTGATTTCGATAGTAGAATCTGTTGATTTGTAGGACTACCTTCATCAGAAGGTTGAACAACTGTCGGACCAAATGTGTTAGTTACAAATGGAGCTGATGAAAGCTTATTAATCCAATCAGTAAATAATGCATGTGCTTCATTGAACTGATTAATTTTTACCATAATCATTCGACTTTAACAATAGAAGAAAAGAAAGTGAGTGTAAATAGTCATATGAAAAAAGCTAGTAAACAGAATACAAAACCATATCAACAAACTGTAAACAACGCATGATCAAGAAATGTTCTATCTCATCAAAAAAATTGTTAAAAAGGTAAAAATTCGAAAAGCTGACTTTTTAATTTGGAAAAGGTTGGGTGGCAATTACCTTACAAATGTGCTAAATCAAATGAATTGATAATCTAGTTAGTTAACATCATAATTTTATTATACAGTGAAGGCAGATCTACTTCCTTCTGTAATAATAATGCATGATATTAGTTGAGAAAAAAAAGTTTAATTTAGAGATTTCCACTTCATTATTACTTGCTAAAAATTTGGTTTGCTTCATTCATTTAAAAGATGATACTGGGTCCCAAATAATTTAACATGGATCTTATTAAAAATTAGAATATTCAGGTCTAGCGCTTTTTGGCAGCAAATTACTTAACTTTATCTCATTAGTCTATGTCATTTATTTATTTGAACACATAAATATTGGTACAAGGAAGCACCAGATATATATGCGCCACACAAATCTCATTCGATTTGTGTGAGGGCTGTGATACTGCCAAGGTGCCCAAATCGAAGCAGGTGGTTTTCTTAGGGGGCCACACCCGGAGCCTTTGACCTGAATGTCTGATCCACAAGGCAGTGGAGCATCGTGAGGAGATGCAGTCCCATGATAGCCGGTGATCAACGGTTGATTCGTACGCCATTTGTCCCCTCAGGATACTGGAGCCCATGTGCACCACTGGTTTGGAATCAGGGTTTTCCAACTCCCCTAGGTGGACCCTCCATGTCCACCAACCTGGTTAAAGCACCGGACATTCGCTTTTCGTCCTCTCACTTTCGTAAACAACACCCCCGCCACGAGAAGGCAGTGAGTAGGACTTCCCTGGCAGAGGCTATATATTCGCTGGCCATATGAGAGCATTTCGAGAGGGAGAGTTGACTCTCCCCACTCTCGGGCGTACCAAGGCATTTGGGGATTATTATCTATAATTTAATGCATTTTAGTGTAATTTATCTAGCTTTACCATCTGTAAATGGTTATTACATTGTATCATCATGTTGTACAGACGTAAACAGATTTATAAGAACTCAAATGACGTTCATTCTTCAATGTAACTGAGTGTAGCCTGATTGGAGGTTTTGAGACAAATATTTGATGTGACGAAAGGTGATAATACTATAAGATGTGTGAGATACCTAAACCAAGGTATTAAGAACCGAATGACCTAAAATAATTCAGTGAAGAACACAATGAATAAAATTTAACATCAAAAAGATACTGATATTCATCTTTTTGAATAAACTTTTAGCATTTTAGCGTGGGAGAGTAGGATATGTTGTTAAACTGTAAAACTAGTGACTCACTTAAAAAAGGATGTATAATTAATATGATTGAAATGAACACAAATGTATATTAACTATTTTAGAAATGCCAATCACTTTCACATGACAACGTGAATTACTCATATAAACAATCAGTAACAATGGTATTTAAACTTTAGTAACCAGAAATATCGACTTGACAAATACAAATTTTACTTAAAAGTTAAACTGTTTTATTACTGACATGAAGTATTGTCATTGAAAGACAAAAAAGACAAGAGAAATGTCGTCAAAACTTATTAATAAAATGAATTCACGATATAAGATTGACTGATTAGATTAAAATGTATGGTACTAATTAATCTTCACTATTTTTTGCCAAAAAAAGGAACAACTGAACGTAATATACACATCATGTGATTCGTGCACAACAAGCAAGCCAAAGCAAGAAAAGACACAAACAAACTAATAATATGTGTGTATTTTTTCCCGTTAAAAATGACCTTCATTTTCACTTTGTAATCTTCACCCGCATAATATATCTCCAGCTGGTACTTTATGACTGATGACAAATTCATATTCAACATCGCCGTTGAAAGGCATTTGAAAGTATTGAACTATCAAGGTCAGGTATTAAAGATAGTCCAGAAGCGATCGCGCATACAAACATTTTAATCCAAATAAAGAATTGAACGATAAGATTAGGTGACATGAAAATGGATGCAACAAATGAAATACTGTACACCGTCACGCTAATCTCACCTCTAATATTGATCAACAGACAACACCTGCGTATATTACCGTGAGGCCTGTTTACAATCACCTCATTCATCGGGAAACAGTTTCGTCTCAATCGACATATATTAGTGCACATGAAAATACAAACATGATTCCACACACTCATACACACGCGTATGACCATGCATCTAACAAATGTTAATGAAGTGCTTAAAATTTATGACGAAAGACATCATGTAATAACAAATATACTGAAGATAAAAGGACTAGAAATTTTAAGCAGTAATTCATACTTTTGACACTATTTTACTAAACTACTTTTCGAAACAATGAGAGAAAAGCAGAAAGTATTACGAAGAACCAAAAAGAATATGAAAGAAACACTGAAGATGAACGGATGCAAAAACCAAATTCAAACAAGACTTTGTTGATTTCGTCTTGAATTTCAATAACAGTAAAGTATATGAACCATTACAAATGATTTGATAAAAATCAAATTTTCACTAAATAGTTGTTTAATATTAAGATTACCAGAATGCGGGTTTGTAGAGATTGAATTAATTTCAATAGTTGAATTCATGACGGCCGTATGGTCTTAGTTTGAGGCGATCAGCATGGCCATCAGACAAATCAAGTGTGGCAAAGTAGCAGGACCAGACAACATTCGAGCAGAAGCACTGAAAGCAGAAGTAGCAGCAACTGCAAGGATACTCCACATTCTCGTCAACAAGATTTGGGATGAAGAACAAGTACCAACAGACTGGAAAGTTCTTATCAAAATACCAAAGAAAGTCGATCTCAGCAAGTATGGTAACTACAGGGGTATCACTCCTCTCTTAATACCAGAAAACGTCTTCAACGGGGTGTTGTTAAACAGAATGAAGGACTCCGTCGACACTCAACTTCCAGACCAACAAACTGGATTCTGTAAGGGTCGACCATGTACTGACCATATCGCGACTCTACGGATCATTGCGGAACAATCAATCGAATGGAATTCATCACTCTACATCAACTTCATTGACTACAAGAAAGTATTTGATAGTGTGAACAGAACAACATCATAGAGGCTTTTTCGAAACTACGGCATGCCTGAGAAGATAGTCAACATCAAACGGAATTTTTATGATGGGTTAAACTGCAAAATCGTGCATGGAGGACAACTCACTGACTTGTTCGAAGTAAAGATCAGTGTCAGGCGAGGTCGCTTACTTCTACCCTTTCTCCTTCTCCTGGTGATCGACTGGATCATAAAGATGTCAACATCTGGAGGAAATCACGGGATACAGTGGACAGATAGGATGCAGCTGGATGATCTAGACTTCGCAGATGATCTGGCTCTTCTATCACACACGCAACAACAAATGCAGGAGAAAACGACTAGTGTAGCAGAAGCCTCAGCAGCAGTAGGTCTCAATATGCACAAATGGAAAAGCAAGATTCTCCGATACAATACAACATCTACCAATCGAATCACAATTGACAGAGAAGCTTTGGAGGATGTAAAACCTTAAAATATCTGGACAGCACCACTAATGAAGATAGTGGATCTTATGCAGATGTGAAGGCACGGATCGCCAAAGTAAGAGCAGCATATCTACAATTAAAGAACATCTCGATCTCAGAACAATTGCCAACCAAAACCATAGTCAGAATTTTCAGTACAAATGTCATGACAGTTCTACTGTACGGGGCGGAAACCTGGAGAATTACGAAAGCCATCATCCAGCAGGTACAGGTGTTTATCAACAGTTGTCTACGCAAGATACTTCGGATCCGTTGACCAGACACTATCAAGCAACATTCTAGTGTGAGAGAGAACAAACCAGATTCCATCCAACGGAGGAAGAAATCACCGTCAATTTCGAGCTTTTTCTTATGAATAAACAATAGCTAATTAACACTGTATACAAATCATTAAAACCACTTCAATAAGATGATCCTAACTTTTATTCCACAATATCTTTTCACTATAAGACGAGAGCTTCAAAATAAATAAAGGAGAAGTAGCAGATATTTTTTCACGAAACCTACTTTAAGAAGAATAGAGAACTTGTACTCACATTAATAATACATGTTTTTCACATTGAAGTTCACTCTATGCGAACAAGGGGTAAAAAAATAAGTAATCATGACTGGTAAAAAATAACCTTTACATTAACAACTCAATCAATTCTTACAAAAATAAAGTTTAATTGCAATCAACATTGATTACTTTTAAGAAAGTTCTACAAAAAACAAAAAAATAGAAAGAGTTGAAAAAACATAAAGTCCGTAATCACATGAAAAAATAAGGTTATTTAAATCGGTGAAGTTGATAGATTTTCTCTGAAATTTGTAAACAAATAGAGTGAAAGTATAAAATGTAATGGATATGAAAGAAACAAAACAAATATTCATGAACATGTAATGCGAGAACACTAGATAAGCACACAGCCAACCGGATAATAGATTAAAATAATAATTAACGAAATAGTTTTCCAGAATTAATTTTAATCATGAATTACACAACTTATTTATTTAAACACATTAATATTGGTACAAAGGGGCACCAGATATATATGCGCCACACAAATCTCATTCGATTTGTGTGAGGGCTGTGATACTGCCAAGGTGCCCAAATCGAAGCAGGTGGTTTTCTTAGGGGGCCACACCTTGAGCCCTTGACCTAAAGGTCTGACCCACAGGGCAGTGGAGCATCGTGAGGAGACGCAGTCCCATGGTAGCCGGTGACCAACGATTGATTCATACGCCATTTATTCCTTCAGGATACGGGAGCCCATAGTTTGGAATCAGGGTTTTCCAACTCCCCTAGGTGGGCGCGCCGTGTCCACCAACCCGGTTATAGCGCCGGACATTCGCTTTTCGTCCTCTCAATTTCGTAAACAACAGCCCCGTCACGAGAAGGCAGTGAGTAGAACTTTCCTGGCAGAGGCTATATACTCGTGGCCATGTGAGAGCATTTCGAGAGGGAGAGTGGACTCTCCCCACTCTCGGGCGTACCAGGGCATTTGGGGGCGAATGGCACAACTGGAATAATACAAACCACATTGTAAGAGATAGAGAAAATAGATCTATTTCAAGTCCAATGATTAGTGTTATGTTGTAATGTTTAGAACTTAGATAGAATAACATACACGAATTTAATATAATTTTCATCAGAAACCGGAATCACTTAGTGAACCAATGAAAACCAAATGGAACTGAACCGATTTTCTCACAACTTTCGAGATCACCAAACAGTCCACAATTAAGACGCTATATTGAATCGTACAGAGCTTTTTTAAGCCACAGAAAGAACACTTTATCGTCTATCAATGCTATGGAATCTAATGGTTGATATTTTCAACTTCTCTTAAATTAAAATGAAACATTTATCAAGAGCTCTTTGGGTTTTAATGGTTCTTTAGGTGACCATGTTTTGTAATCGAAATCTCCACAAAAACCGTCCTATTTAGTAGACATGCATAAATTTATCATGATGTTATTTGGTTATCGACAGTTTTACATAAATACATATAGGTAACTTGAGAATAGAATTGACCTGATAATTACATAACAAGTGTCTAGAGTTGTCAAGTAAGGCATATAGTGACATACGATGATTTCTGAAGGAAGAATTTAGAGATACCAAACTTTGCTTATTCTGTTACCGATATGCAACCTAAAATGAAGATGGATGTAAATAAGAAAAGATGGACATTTTGTTCAACGAACACTTGCTTTATAAATCAAGAATGACGAAGTAAAGAGAGATTAGCCTGAAGACTAGAAAGAGGACAACTGATTTGGCAGTATGATCGATTTCACTAAGGGACTTTAAACAACTGGGTTTATCAAAAATATTTGAATCATCGACATGTTTTCATTGATCGTTGTGAATAATTGTCCTAGTGAATGATTCCAAATAACAATATTGACAAAACATTTCAGATCGCTGAATCTTTCGAAGAAATAAAGCACAAAAAGATTTATGTACTGAATTAACTATCTTTTATTCAATCAGAGGATTGAGTTAACAGAAAGTGTTACTAAACTTCTCTACTAATGAATGAACTAACAGAAATGACGTCAGCATCGATAAGATTGTATTCTCAAATCAGCAGTCTCAAGAAAATAGAGCAGACGAAAAAGCATTCGACTAGTACACGCGTGAAAAATCTGCATGACAGACTAATGTGAAACATGATCGCGAATCCAAGCATATAGTAGAAAATTGATTCGAAATTCAAATGAGTATCTTTTGGAGGTTTATTGATTTTATTTTAATCCACAAAGTCATATGTTCTACATTTAGTATACTTGTTAGCCGGTCGAGAAATTAGGATTCGAAACACATGCCAACTCGGTGTAAGAATAAATAATTAAGGATATAGGTTTAAAGCGCTTGATTTTAGAGCATCTTACTCAGTTTGATCGATATCTACTAGAAGATAAAAGCTGTAAACTAGGTCAAAATAAGTATCAAAATGAACAAGAAAAGTAAACAGACAGTTTTAATTGTTTTTTAAAATCGATTTTCCATCTTCAGAAACATATTGAATTTTTTCCAGTGATAATAAACATAATGATCCTAATGATTACACTGAAAACTAGGCTACTGTGAATTTAAATTACGAGTCTTATTAGAGTAAAACAGTTTACCATGTCAAACTGAAGGTGATACAGATGGGGCAGTAAACCAGCACACACCTAGCAAAAACGGTCCTAAACTTTATTATTAATTCCTGCACCATAGTTTATATCTGATAGTACTGCTTGAGCAACATCTTCAACTTACACAAATATTGAGAAAGTGGTGAAAATTCTAACTTATAGAATAACATCTCTGGTTTTTGGTGACCCAGCTTCAAACTATGTATTAGGCTACCCAATATCCAAACTCATAAAGTATTCTATTTATGTAGTTATTTTACTACCAATGATACCGTTACTGTACCTTCCATCTTTAGAATTTCACCTCGCTTTTCTCACGTGGCATGGCTACTTGAGTCGATAGACATTTGTGCCTGGTGTTATGCTGTTTAGGACTGACTAACTGATTTAATACATAAACTCTGTCAATTAAGGCTAAAAACCTTATCAAATAAAACTTCGTAACTCCATATTACAAATATACACTGCTTCTGATTGTTTTATACATTGTCCAAACGTACTTATTAACATGATATCACCTGGCTGGTGTGATAAATCAGAATGATTCATTTTCTGCATTTATCTAAAAGTTATTAAACGACAATTAGAGGTCTTTACAACCAATCAGGAAGAAATTCGTCAAATTATTAATATACCACGCTAAGATGTATAGAACTTAATTTTGAATTTATGTAACAGAATATTATTCCTTTTAATACCTGTCCCATCGAATGTACCCGCCCCCAAATGCCCTGGTACGCCCGAGAGTGGGGAGAGTCCACTCTCCCTCTCGAAATGCTCTCACATGGCCACGAGTATATAGCCTCTGCCAGGAAAGTTCTACTCACTGCCTTCTCGTGACGGGGCTGTTGTTTACGAAATTGAGAGGACGAAAAGCGAATGTCCGGCGCTATAACCGGGTTGGTGGACACGGCGCGCCCACCTAGGGGAGTTGGAAAACCCTGATTCCAAACTATGGGCTCCCGTATCCTGAAGGAATAAATGGCGTATGAATCAATCGTTGGTCACCGGCTACCATGGGACTGCGTCTCCTCACGATGCTCCACTGCCCTGTGGGTCAGACCTTTAGGTCAAGGGCTCAAGGTGTAGCCCCCTAAGAAAACCACCTGCTTCGATTTGGGCACCTTGGCAGTATCACAGCCCTCACACAAATCGAATGAGATTTGTGTGCCGCATATATATCTGGTGCCCCTTTGTACCAATATTGATGTGTTTAAATAAAATAAAATAAGTATACTTTATATGTCACAATCTGGAGAGAAGATTATAGTCTAACCAAACACTCCATTTTTATTTGTACGAGTATCCGCTAATAGATACGTCTAGTTAGAAAATTTACACTAGTTCCTTAACTAAAGAGAGTTTCAAGGGCAGATTAAATAACCTCTTAGGCCAAAATAATTTTTCACAGAAGTATTCATCATATGGGTGCCACTTGAGGTTCGGGTTTTAAAAACAGCAATCACTTCATTAATTTGTTAATGAGATTGAATTTAAACAAATATAAAAACAGCTGTACTAAGTCATGAACGGCACAACGTTTTAATAATCCCTACAATACATAAGTCTACATACTAGAAGATCAATAGAGAATGATGAGTGTAACTATATAAGGTAGATTCTGATAACAGCTAATAAAATTCAAACGATAAAGCGTATTTTATTCACTCACTCGCTAGCAAACTTAAATATATATACTTCTGTTTATGAGAAAGATATAGGAAATAGAGAAGAGTGATATTAATGATATAGGTAATCTGTTCATGTTTTGCTATTTTAATTTATTGTCCATCATAATAAGACTTTGCTATTCATATCAGAGAGTTTCTTATGTACCTCATACATACATCAGGAGTATCTAAATACATAAATTTGATGAGTCGCCCTCTAAAACTAATCATGCCTTTTTTTCCAAGAAGTTGAAACTTCTCCATTAACTAGAAAATATGACATTATCGCAAGGTACCTTATCAAGAGATAAATCTTCATGGTAGTACAAGTAAATATAAGCCGCATCCTCATGACTGTGTCCCAACAGAAAAAATTTCTTAATAAGCAATAAGAATGATCACGTCTCAATAAGACTAAAAGCGAATACCAATGAATATTTTTCGTATGAAAGTGAAGCAAATTAACAGTCATCTGACAAATACTATAATAAACTCATGATATAACCATAATGCCAAAAGTTGTGTAATTTTGTAGATTATTTTAATTGTTAGTGATCATTAAGCATTTGACTAAATCTTCAACATATTCAAATTGCTAATATATGTAAAGATTTTGTCTAAAGATAACCAAGTATTAAAATGGTAAGTTTCGACACAGATTCTTCTTTCTCTATCTGCAAAAATAATGCATACATTTCGGGCTAGCAATCAATAAAACTTTAATCAATAAAAAAACCTTTTCGACCTCTAATCACTGTATTGAAAGATACCATTAATTAATGATGTGTTTAATGAGTAGCTCATCTTATTTTGTGCTTTTCAAAGAAGTATGACTAAACTAATAATGTAAATTACAAAAAACGGTACCATGGTCAATGGTTTAGAGTCTAATTCCATAAAAGAACTAAACGGTTTTTGGTTTTATCATAGATGCATTTGCTTGTACCTATCAACGAAAAAACAGTGTTTAATATCTAATAATTTTCAACGGTTGGAATTCAAGAGCTGAGACTTGATGCTAACAATACCCCAAGGAATATGGAAAGATAAACACTGTAGATATTTAGCTAAGTATTAATTAGGTACTGCATATTTTTGCTTAAGAGTGGTAAACATAAAGATCAATGAGCCTATTACTCTCTGATCTCCATAAGCTATAAAATGAGCATTACTTTTATGCTCTTATAATAAAATTAGTAGATTTACATTCCGATTAAACAATAACGCAGTAAGAAAACTGTCTCAGTCTGTTAAATAATGTGTTGCAGAAAGCGATGTGTAGGAAGTCCTAAGCAAGGATACCTTAGCTGAGAAGAAAATGATACTCTGATGGACTTAATCAAAGTATATTGAGATTTTAGTCGCTTGACTGAGTGTATAATAGAACTGAAAAGTGAGCAGCAGTGTTTATTAACTAGCAATCAATTAGTATAATTTGGAAATGGAGAAAGACTTCAAACATTTCCTTTCCTCAACAGTAAACGATACTCACTTGTCGCTCATACGTTGTTCATTCTTTTTGCAATCGTCTAGTAAAGGAAGCTGGATACATGCAGCACCAGATGCGATACGTCCACGAATCAAGCGTGCACATTCAGTCAATTGACTTATCAAATGACAACGATTAAACGGTCGAATAACTTGACGTGTTAAGTTTGATGTGTAGGCAAGTTCCACAATCAATTCAGTATATGACTGAGAAAAATCCAATGGTGGCTTATAAAAAAAAGAAATACAACTCGTAGATAGAATTAGAATCAGTATCAAGACTGCTTGCAAGTACCAATATGTGTTTTGTTTCTTAAAGGGGTTTATTAATTAGCAGTCTTGCAAGGAATTTAAAACATCATAGACTAATAGATTTAGGAAATGAGTGGTAATGGTATGTTGTTTTACACAGTTAATTGGAATGATCATGAGACTCTGTTGTACGGACTTCGAAACATAAACAATCAAAATTAAGTTTCCGAAATGTGATTTTACACTTTTCGTGGACTACCATAATCAATAGCAGAATACAAAGACTTCATGAATGAAATCATACCACCCCAGAACTCATCTCTGAACTAAAGATTGTGTCAGAAAAATACACATCGGTACCACAACTGCGACTCCTGAACTTAATAAAATTTCGTCTACCGAAGGACTTACTTGTCCAAACGTGAAATTTCGGCACGAGGTAGGGACGAATTTTTCGCTATTATACCTTTCATTTTATTCTTCTTTGTTATCATTCCGGTAATTACCAGGCAACTGGAGTTATTATATTATGTTAGTATTTCAAGGTAAATGATCGACAGGTTGTTTGATTGTTTTTCAATCTTCCAGACGAAAGTATTTGTTACCAACTATCAGTCTTACGCTCAACCATTTATTTTTCCTGTTGTTCTAAAGATTTCTGACGATTATTAGCTTTATTTAAGTAATATCTCTCGCTAACTATAAACTAGATGGGTATCATGTGATGAATAAATCAAACTTTTAGTATACTGATATGACGCAAGATGTCCTAGGTTTCGGTCTTGAGTGCTCGGCAGCTTTTCCACATTTCCATCAATCCATGATGAGATTATTTGCAATGATAGCGATATTGAGTGGATGAGTGGCAAAATCAAAGACCTTGTGGAAAACAATATACAACCTATGAAAGAAATATTACATACAACTTTGACTTTAGCAGTCTTCTTCCTTTTTTTCCGAAAACCGAGATGAGCAAAGGGATTAGTGAACTTGGACTGCTGTATAGACAACTTGTGGTTCATATTAAAGTCCTTGAAATAAGATGTATTTTGAAGGTTGCTTTCATTTGAAACCAATTTGGAGAGTTTCTGTACAAAATAATTTGTCCTGGGTTCAGCAGAATTCGCACGCCGACGAGGAATTCCTTAACACAGAAAATCAACATGTTGTTAAGAAGAAATCAAAAGACAGAATGTTAATTACCAGCAACTACATATTAGCAAGTTCTCAAACAATATGACCTGATCAATAACTTAACTACATCTAGTAACCAGACAATCAAGATATACTTATTAAAACACGAAAGATAAGAGATGAACAATTATTATGCCTAATAACGCAACAAACAAAGAATACGGTAGATATCAAGAGTATGAAATTCACATGATCATCAACAACTCTCGTATACCTCACAACACAACTCCGCATTTTTGTTCAAAAGACAAACAACTATAAACAGATGATAACATTTAAGAGCTAAGTCACGATTGTTGCAACTAAAGCACTAGATAAAAGGAATATTTTTCGACCGAGGTTTAAAAGCGGATAAACCACAATCTGAATATATTGAAACGGAAGTGATTTTCAGCACATTATAATTTTCAAAAAAAATGCACGGGTTTTAAACATGGAAGTTATGAAACCATCCATTTTAAAATCAGTGTGAAGAAAAGCCGCAACTTTCAATAAGTAATTGAAAAATAAGTACCTTATAAGGCCAATAACAAAACACACATGGACATACATATGAGTGAAAAGGAATATAATTAAAATAAATAATAAAATGGTATACGGAACAAATCGTGGTTAACCTTTAACCGAATATTACGACTTAAAAAATATTATGACATTAAAAACTTTTAAACGATGTTTACTGATTTGCAATGGTTCTACAGAAGATTTAGATAGACTTAACTTTCTTCAAAATCAATACAATATTCATACAGAATGAATATAAGACGATCACAAAAGACTTTTTCCCAGAACCAATTTCCCGAAATATCATGAAAAGACGAGATCAGTAGATTTAATAAGGTGAGAAATCAAATAAAATTAAGAATCGAATAAGAATAAAGGAGTAAAGAGAAATGACTGGAATCGATAACGTGTACCGTCAGATTTTGACTGAGTGACTTAATAGTATTGTGTATCCCGAGAAAACGTAAGGGTTTGGTTTGGACCTTATGTGTGATTGGCAGAGTACAGAGATAAGGTGTTTTAAAATAGAATAGCGTTCCTACAAAAGAAACGTATTTGAAACTCAAAGCAACTGTCACTAAAGAATAAAATCAGAATTTTCAACACTTAAGTTAAAATAATCCTGTCATAAGGAGCTGAAACTTGGATAACGACTACTACCAGCATCACAAAAAATGTGCAGGTATTTATAAACATCTGTCTACCCAAGATACTCCAGATCCATTGGCCAGAACAGAACAAGCCAGCTACCGGTTGAAAAATAAATTAGAAAGAGATAAAGGAGATGAATAGGACACACTGAGAAAGTCACTAAACTGAATCAAGAGGCAAGCTCTGAATTGAAGTTCCTAATGCAAAAGGGAAAGAGGCATATCAAAGAACACATGGATTCGGGAATTGGAGGCAGACACCAAGAATATGGAAACAACTTAGCAACAGCTGAGAAGGAACACAAAACAGATACTTGAAGCCCTCTGGTTAGCAAACTATACCCCAAGAGAGGTAGTAGGTTTCAGTAACTAAGTAAGAACATTTGAAGTATATTCAATGATTTAGGTTAACTGGTACACTGGAGAATTATTATTGGAGTTTAGTGCAGAAACATTTACACAGATTTTGTGAGTTTTTAATACACATGTGTATCCTTTGCTGCAGCAAAGGAGAGACGAGCCAACTTCCCATAGCTTCTCCCTGGGAACTATTTGAAGGACGAAATTTTCCGTGGCCGTAAACAGGTTAACGGCTAGCATGGCGGAGAATCCTTTATCTACACCTTTTTCAGTGCCTATAAACCTAAATGAATATTTGTTACCACAAAAGAAACTCATCCGACAAAAACTAAACACGTTTTGTTGACATCTGAGGAACTTTTTGATGGTTCTTTACCAGACTTTGGAGTGTAATGTTCAAAATTTTGAATAAAAGTGGACTAAACTACGTAATAAAAAGCAAGATATAACTAGTTTCCCAAAATTAAGTAAGAAGCTATAAAATAAACCATTTGAAGTCATTTATTGCGAGCCAAAATATACGGAAGATACGCTGTTGACTAAAACTAAGACCAAAACGGTAGAACTCACTGGATTTGATTGTCGTCATGTTACAAGTATTGGAAACATAACGCGACCATCAACACACGCGCCTTGACCTTACATAAAACATCTGACTCAATAGAGACTATTGTTTCAGGTCATTGACCTTGAGAACAAAACAGCTGGACAGTTTTTCTCAATCCTTAGAGCTCTTACTTCCCGTAGAGATAACAGGATCAAAGCATTACCTGATACAATGGACGCGAGAGTATTCACTTTTGTTAAAGATCCATCAGAAATGGATGCTTAAACATTAGATCTTCTGCGAGAGAGTGCTAAAACTACATCTTTGCTTATTACTCGTTGGTGTCATATGATTTATATGATCCTTCGGGAAATACAAGATGAATGAATAACCATACCTGTTCTCGTACAGTGCGGCTACCGTATCAGATCAATCTAGTCGAATAATTTACTTCCAGTCTGTATAGCTATTTCCGTCATTCAGACTCTCTTCGACTAGCCAGAGCCGGAGTTTCCCAAGCAACAATGTTGGTGATACTTCTGAGCTGTTGATAAAAAAGTGTTCAAAAACATTACAGCCAGTTCATAGAACCTACACTGATGAGAGCTCTGCCTGAAACTCTAGTGGAGCCTAGGAAGTGAATCTGATGCACCGAAATATTCAGCGCCCAAACGTGAACACATCACATGACCCGGACATGATCCACTCCTTTATACAGTGAGGAAAAGCCTTAATCTTGACAACACACACACACTAGCTAAATAAAATCGCAGTCTCAAAAAATTGGAAGTTGGCATACATCACACCATTTTTAGAGGTTCCCAACCCAACAAGCTGGAGATACCACAGGTATTGTAGTTTGACAACGCTTTACCAGTAACACCTTCTATAATTTAATCGTGCCCACCCAGAAAAATCAAAAGTCAGAAGTGAGGAGGTTGGAAGATAAATTTGATAGATTATCAATATATCGAGAATTGACTGATCGAAACTGGCTAGTGATCGCAGGAGACGTTGAGCAAGCTGTTCCAACTCGCGATCTGGTGCAGATGCATGACCGAGAGCCTTCAGCTAGGTGGGCCCATTAAAACTAATGTGGTCAGCATCCAATTTCGAGCACTTACAGAGCTACTGATTTTTGGGTTTTATTTATAGTGACGGATCACTACCCTCTGGTGAGGGTAGTGATTACCCAACGACGTGGCCAGCCAGAAGTTTAAACCCAACAAGTTTGTCGTTGGCAAACGATCTTCTGATAGCTTGCTATGTTTAGCGACATCTGGTCGCCTTTCCTTGCAATAAGGGACCATGAGGTACAACATAGTAATAAGGAAACAAAGTACAATGAAAATTCCGGTTCCTCGTAAACTTCATCATTCTTTTTATCGTCTTTCCCAGCAGTCCTGGAAAAGAAAAAAATGTGAGTGTCCAGATACACTTGTACGCGCGCAAAGACACAAAGCGGGCGGAAAAAGTAAATAAACCAATACAACTGCCACAGCGTAAAAGCGATTTTTCCGGTTTTTTTTTTAAAAAATAGATCAAATATGCGCATATTAGTGTTTAAAAATTTTTTGGAATACATATATTAGTATAAGCGTAGTAATTTTTTAATTATACACAATACAAAGGAAATTCGGGATCAGGCAGAATGTTAACTGGTGTCATATGTGTAATAGTCGTCTAAATGTTCTGGAATCCTTACTCTTCTTCCAGAACTCGTTGTTTTGAGTTTCTTTTCAGATACTGCCGAAGTATCAACATGGCTGATGGATGAGGTATTACAAGTGTAGGAGTCGTGTCGTTCGTTCATACCGAGAGAAAATCGACGTGGATAGAATTTCCTTTTAAATTCGCTGCTTTGATTCGATCAACGCCGATGCTACCTTTAGTTTGGTTCGCGCTGAAGAACTTTGGAGGGTCCTTCGTATGCTGGTTCGAGGGTTCGTCGATGTGAGTCTCCAAATACGAAGACATGTGTACTATAGCGTAAGTCAGGTTGAACGAAAACATCAGTTGATTTCGGTTGAGTGGAAACAGGTGTAACTGAACGCATTGCGTTTGTAAGTCTGCTCGTGTGTGAGTTAAGATCCGTATTTATTGAAGAAGACGAAGGATACACGAGTTCTCTTGGAAGTCGAAGTGTCGTTCCATAAGCGAGTTGAGCCTCATTGCATCCAGTGTCAGCTTTCACTGTATTGCGAATGTCTAGTAAGACGATTTATTTACCTCTACAAAGCCTTCACATTACTGGTCGATTGCACTTCGTCCAGTACCCTCAAGGATTATAGAGTCCCTACTGTGCGATGGCCTATACGACTACTTGTTATCTGTATAGTTCTTTTCGCCCCCAACATTGCGATTTCAGGAAGTGTCATTTCTTTATCACCTATCCACTGAGTTCGGCAGACAGAGGAACTATCATCCTCGCTAGCAAAACGAAGTGAGCATGATTTACCTCGATTTTTGAAGAGCATTTGATAGGGTCGATCGAACGTACCTTATCAATAAGCCCAATCTGGTATTTATCAGTTCTTCATCGACGGACTGGTTTGAGTCATATACAAGTAATAGACGTTTTAGGGTCACAGAAAACATGACATTTTCTCGGGCTTCGCCAAAATTAAGTCAATCGTTGTCTGCCCGACAGCGAAACTAAGTCTCATACTCCTGGCTGCCGACTTCACCCTACACGTTTGAGATCGCCAGCGAACAGCAGCGACTGCATCGGTACTTGCTAGAGGTTATTAAGACGAATACAAAACATAAGGTTTCTTTGTACTGAGCTCTGGGGGATACCACAAGAATATTCGTTAGCCCGAGAAACTTAGGAGTTTGACGTGACTCTAATAAGCTTATTGCTTGGATATCCAATATATGACTGATTTCCTCGAGACTGCTTCTTGTCGTTCGGGCAGGGTTCCAAGTATTTGGTTATGTCCAATGAGCAATAGACTAGCCGTCCGATTGCACTAATTCCAGTCAGTGTGGTATTTATTCAGGGATTTGTATATCTTTTGATTGAGCGAGTGTGTTTTTCTCAGGGCAGTAATTGTGTGGGATACCAGCATCTATTACATCATCAGGTAGGTGGGTTTTTTGGTTGCAATATGAAAATAATAAAGTGATAGTTCGAGTGTTAGGAGAAAATGATGGGTTAAAGAACATAAAATTAATTTACTTGATTGATAGGAGAGAAACAAAGATGATGATGAAAGGGATAGGAAGTAGTTACTGGTTGAACAGTGACTATAACCGTATTAAATAACGTGACATATCCCAGACATAGCCAATCTAAGAAGGGGATTGTAATCCACCAGAGTCTGTAGTAACTTCGGCTGGGGGTTGAATAACTGACGAGTAAAATTAGAGACGCACACCACAATCGAAATGAGAACAAAGCGATTGGAGTAATAACGGTTCTAAAATTCATCATATATACAAATGTACAAATTTACCTAAACAAATATTACCACCCAGTTATTCAACCAACATTTGATCCCAAAATATTCAATCTAAATTACAATGAATAGCAAAGTGGTAAGAAATACATGAAAATTACCGAAAACACCAAAAAGTAGGTGTTATTCTATGCTTTCTGGATAGATCAAGTAAGATTCCGTTCGAGCGGCTGTTCTATAACACAAAGTGTTGCAAATTCTGGGAAAGTGCTCCAATTTACAACCAAAATGCACGATCCCAGTCAAAATCAAACTGCACAATCAAAGAGCGAGCAGTCAATATGACAGACGCCAGAATAATATCGACTAAAACAAATTAAATGCAGTTCGAAAGGGAAAAACATAGAAACTCAACGAAAACGATAGAAAAACCGAGCAATTATTATAAAATTAAACCTTACAGTCTCAATTGGCATCAAAAAAGTTAACAATATGCACAAATAAAGAAACCATAAAGAACAAATTGCAAATGTATACATGGAGGGATTTTCACCTTCAAAATGGATCTTACAGGGGGAGCATTCCAAATAAGTGCAACTTTTAGTGAGAGAAATTGGAAGTGTGTACTGTTATTGGTCTTAACAACACGGTCCTCAAAGTTGAATATGAGGTAACTGGAAAAATGAATATTAAACAATTAACACTAATAGAAGGTCAACAATGGAGAAGGTGGGAATATTCATTCAAGATCGAGTCGGGTGGCATTGATCAGCCTAGCAAGCGTTTTCATTCTTGTGTAACTTATCTCTTTTATTTATATTGAATGTATTGTTCTATCTTCAGCCTAATTGCGTTCTTCAAAAGTAGGACGAGTCGGTGTAGGCGACGATGTGACTTTCACGTAAGATCTTATAGATCAGGTAGTCACATCACGGCATATCTACAACTTTAGGATTCGGTCTATTATTAGAGTAGTACTTAAAACGAAGTAGACCATAATTCTGCGAGTGTACCTGGGTGTTCATCCTATGATATGCAGTCTTTCGGGGGTTGTGTCAGGGTTCTTGTAATATGCCTATGTTAGGGTGGCCCGGCGTACTTAATGTGTTGTATGCCATTGCCAATTCATCTCTTATTCTCCTGTAGCTCAGGCATTATAATCCTAGATGCAAGATTCTATCTTCGTAGGATTTGTGTTTTATCATTATCATCCACTATATGTAATTTCATAGTCGGGATGAAAGTGGGTCAGTGAAACAAACGTTTGCAACCTTATCTAAGAAAAAATCATGGTATACTATGTCGAAGACCTCTTCAAAATCAAAGGATATTGCATGAGCTAGTATCTTATTATCCCAGTAGGTAGTCAAGCTTCCCCATGCTATGAGGAAGTTCGATGCAAATGGCCTGACATTCATGTTGGGCTTCATGGAGGATATTATCTTCATTCATGTATCCCTACATTTGTCCATCGACCAGTCCCGCCATTACTTTTGACAGTATCGAGAGAAGAGCAACTGGTATGGCATGGCTAGGGAATTCAGGTGTGGTCAATCTATGAGACTGATTCCTTCACATATTAAGTATTTAATTTTACCCCCAACCCAATTCCGCTTTTTAGAAGTGCTAAAAATTATATTTCTGACTAAACGATAGGGCGAGTCAGTACAGATAATAGATTGCCTTCCACGTGAGGTCTGATAGAT